TTTAGCTAATGGAAAACAAATATTTCAATCTCAACAGCAATATTATATTGGAAAAGCTACTTGAGGTATAAAGCTGAGGTTTTGTGCAAGGACATTTTTTTTTTAATTAATGAATTTAAACCTTGTCATCATATCACCCCCCTAAAACATCTAATACTGCATTAAATAAATTATAGCCATACAAGTTATTGACACAGGGAATCGGAACTTAAAGGTATAGTGGAGGATGTTCTTTTTCCGGGCGGATCATCAAAATAAGTGGTCCTCCTAACTGTCAATCTTTCGTGTGATATGTTAACGTAAGGCCGTCCTACATGCTCATCCCCATTTTCACTTACCGGTGGTGAGTCTGACATAGAGGAAAAATTTAAAATCTTCTTTTGGAAAGTAAGCTTGCAACAACAACTTTTAAACAGAGTTTGCACGAGGAGAAATAGGCTTATGCATGATCTCACACACGTTTAATAGGCATTTTTTTAAAATAGTCTTTTAAAAAAATTGTGAAAACCCGCCACTATACCTTTAACAGTACTATAATAAAACTGGGACTTTTCTTGCAGCAAGGTTGTTGTTTTTTTGCGTTATTCCAGTATTACTGTAATGATAAGTTTGTTAAATATTGTGCAGCTCTAATGTATACCTGCCTTACTGGGATCTTGTTTATAGATGCAGTTTAGCATTTACAATTGAAATGACTTTGATCAAACTTCTTCACTGTAGTTAGGAAGGAGGCCATTAATAATGCAGTGTCAGATTTATAAGAAACAACTCAAAACGGAGAGACAGAGACCTGTCGGCTTAAAAGGAAAATCTTTAGTAGATGAGGATTAGATGGAAAAAAATTCTTCAAAGTATCAGAAAATATCTAGATCTGCTCCATGACCTATAATTTAATCAATGATTGTTGTCATGACCAGTTTAATTTAATTGTTGTTATAATCCTTCTTTTGGGCACATATGAGGACGCCGCTTTCTATAAAACTGTTGTATTGTTAGACATTTTTCCTGATTAAGATAAACAAATTGAAACTAGTGTGTTTTTTTGAACAAATTTGTGATAATTTAGAGCAAAAGACTGAAGTTGAAGCAGGTTTCCTGGCAATTCAGCACCAATTTGTGTCCTAGTTTCAGCAGCTGGGTCAGAGTAGGGAAGCTTAATTAATGCATAATAAAAGCATACATTTGATATGATCATATGTATCCTTTTGTAATTTAAAACCACATTTAACAAAAGTTATGATTAAGTGCTGCACACCAGACAGCATGTTGGTCCTCTGTTACAGAAGGGCTTTCAATCTGAGAGCTGCAGCGAATCAAGGGGGAGTGAAAGATTTATTGTTCATGGGAGATAAGACACATAAACATGCTTGCATACTAGTGCAGACCACACACCATGTGCACAGGAGATAATGCACACGCTGCCATGTCATCATGTCCACAAACACACACTCACTGACTCGCTCAGCCAAATCTCGGGGTAACACTCATGGACATCAAACAGCATAGCTGGCTGGGATCACTGCTGCCCTCTCCTCCCTCCTCTTGACCTTTAACCTGATCTCTTCATTCTTGTGTCTCGGCGTCTCTGTCTTTCATCTCTCTCTCCTTCCCTTATACAACTTTTTGGTTCTATTTCTCATTTTGCACATGCATGAGGATTTTTGTCACAGCACAGATCACTGGTTTTAAAAGAAAGGTGCTTTGTTATAATTTCTTTTTTTTTCTGAAGAAAATAAGACAAAAAACTCAAATGAATGAAGCAGCAAATAACTAAAACCATTCAACACCGATTCAAGCAAATCCAGGTGTCCATAATGTCTAATGTACAAAATAAAGTTAAATTGGGACCAATACTGCATGAATATTAATCAAGACTTACATTATATATAGCATGGACTGCATTTGTAATACTACATATGATTTAAAAGAAAAAAAAAAACACATTGAGTCACCAGTAAAACTCTAGAATTTATAGAAATGGTGTTTGCTTTAAAATGAATAAGTAAATAAGCAACAAGTGATACAGATATTTGTGTCCAAATTTAGGAAGTAAAAGTAAAAAAAAATTTCGGAAAAATAAATACTCAAGGAAAGTCCACACACTGAAAAAAAGCTACTTAATTCCAATAACTAAGTATTTATATGTATATATATGTTTTTTTAAAAAAGGAACCAAGACCAATAGAGAAACTCAGACCAAATCACAGCTAAACAATTTCCAGCTGATCTGATTCTAATCAGATTAGCCTCCTGAATGAGGATGAGGAGTCCTCACCAGGGAGTCTTGAACGAATAATCGCACTGCTAAGCAGGCCAACTTAATCCCACATTATCTTTTGATAGATGATCACCTGAGTCAAAATTTAAAAGAACAACTCAGTTCTACTAAAATATTTTGACAGAATCATAACTGGATTTGGGTCTGAACTTTGACTAGGCCATGATAGCACATTGGTGCTTTGACGTCAGCCTGGACTTTTGTATTCAGTATGGCTGAAGACTTATAAACTGCTTTTTACAACTTACCAGCCCCTTGTTTGAATTTTATGCTTTGAATGATCATGTTCCTTTTATGATTAATTCGTAACATGGATAGAAATATATTAGGATTTTGCCACCACAATATGGAAAAATATGCACAAGAGTTTTATTTTAAATTATACTTTATTTCATATAAAAACAAAACATTAAACAAATAAATTAGATATTTCTAAAATAACTCTCTGCTCGAGAACAGGTTTACAAATGGAGCTGGTACCAGAAGATTACAGGAATGTAAAAATAATTGCAGAATTTGAATGCCAATCTAAGAGGGGAAAAAAAGCATGTGTCAGAATAAGACGACCGAAAGACAAAGACATTTTAACCAACACATGGTGGTAGGTAGAGTTTGGCTGCTGGAATGAAACCTTCCATTTTCATTTTAAACTGGTCACAAGCGTCGCAAGGTGATCACTGTTTGCTCTTTTTGAGGTCAGTTCAGGAGGAAGGCGTCTTTCTGTGATTTTATCCAATAGTAAAATATATTTACAGCTGCTCCTGGATGTCAGAGCGGCAAATCTGAATAAAGATTTATAATTTAAAAAGACAGGAGGCTTTGGGGGATCAGGATTGGGGGTGGGGGGCATTACCATAATAAGAGCCTCTTCATTTGCACACAAGCTCAAACTAACCCAATGCACCCCTTCTCCTCAACTCCCCCAAAGTACTCCCTCTAGTCTGTAGTCACACCCATTAAGCCGGCAAAGCCCTCATTGTCCGGCCCGGCTGTGGACCTGAGGATCCCTCGCCACCAGATTGAGCTGGGTGAAGGGTTACAGTCAGACAATAGAGGGTCCCTCCCCCTCCTCCTTTATTTGAAATCAATCACACAGCCTTTCTCATTCAGACCCCCCCCTCCCGCCCATCAGTAATGACAGTGGGCTTGGACCAGCTCCCTACAGAGTCCTCATGCTAAACTGTCCATCCTCCTTTTCAAAGGATGAGTTCCAACCTGAACCTCAACTGATCCAGAAGGAAATTAAACAGAAATTTTATATTGCCAAGGCATAAGAATTTAGGCTTTCAGTTTTTGGAATTATTCAGAAAATTTACTTTTTTTCAAGGGATCATTTAACATTTCTGAGTAGACCTACTTTTAAAGCTTAGCGACCCTCTGTGTCTCTAGCTAAGTTAAAATCTCATCTGACAAAACCAAAGCAAACAAGAAACCGCCCTAGCCTTTACAAAGGATTCTCTTTGCATAGAAACTGATGAGTGTTAATAAAGGAAAGAGAGAGTAGAGGTGATGCACCACAAATAATCTTCCCATATGCATCACGTACAAATGTGGAACATTCAAACAAAACGTACACTCATCTTAAAACAACTGCTAATTTTGTTTAATTTATCTTTAAATTGTCCTAAGGTTTGCAGCCAATGATTAAATATAAAAAAAAGCCTTTGATTGCACTGGAGGTGTTTCCCGTTTGAACTGCAATGGTTCACTTCCTGTTTAATCCTGTCTAATTGTCTAATACACAATTAAGGGTAAAAATTCAATACATTCACTGAAAACAATAATATTCTAGCTTTTCACTTCGTTTTTATTTTTTTTTTGGGTAGTGACTAACAAAATCCTTTAGATGTTCCCACGTTATTACCAATATCAACCCGCCTGAGTGGAGCAAAAAAGTCCCCAACATATTTTCCCCCTGCCATGAATCTGTAGGATTGCTATGGAGCAAGCTTTGCTTTGCTGGCAGGCTACATGCACTGTTGCTACTTTGCTGTTAAGCATTTACTTAGTTTTTCCTCTTTATGCTGGGGTGACCACAGCGAAGGAGAGACTCCCTTCTTTTTAAATGTGTCCCTTATTCTCCCAGTAGGGTGGGTGTCCCCCGTGATCTCCAGATGTATTTTCCCCTTCTCCTGCTCTCCTACGGTTTTTCAACATGCCATGTTACTTCTAATGTTATTACACAGGATTAAAGGCAGTAAAGCACATTATTACTGATCTTTCGATTCATTCAGGATGATCCAAAATGGAGCAGCACCTCAAACCTTCATCATTTTGATTGATCCATTTCTCCATATATGTGTGAAATGCTTTTTAATATGTGCTTTTCTTGTCTTAGCATGTACCTGTAACTCATTTGGATTATTGATAAAGATCAAAGGTGTGTCATTTAACTACAGGTGATGCATTAGCTGATTATAAGGTTCTGCAAAAAGACCAAACCGCTTCTTTAGTTGTTTCCTTTATCTTTGCGATGGAGGTGAAATAAAATCAAAATGAAGGGTTTCATTCCAGCAAATTCTTCAAACATACCCAGCTATAACTGTTCTAAACTTTTTATTATTTCTCAGCCTCTAAATGAGTTTAAATAAGTTTATGCAGCTGATTTGGCACTTTGTGTTTGAGGAACATTTTTTATCATTTCACCTCAATATGTTCCGTTTTTCACGTCATTCAGAATAATTTATGCAAGGCAGTTGTTTTTCTGTCATAGATATGTACATAAAATATTTAACTTTTTTAATATATTCACAGGAAATCATCAGTTCAGGCACTTTGCTGCCACCGCAGCAACTTCTTAACGTGAGATCCTGAGATTTAAGACCTTTGTTTTTAAATAAGTAATACAAATGTAAAATATTATATAGAGTAATTTATATTGACAATCAATTTCTTAACTTTTTAACATAGCAAAATAATTATCTTTTCTTTAAAATGTCCTCACAACCAAGATTTGAAGCCCTGGTTTTTGGGTGGGTGGAGGGTGGATGCAGATCTTTGTCCGTCGCCTCTCCAAAGGCGAGACAGAAAAAGCACTTTAGTGAGTTTTGAGTTTCAGGGTCTCTTCTTTTGAGTTTAGTGCCATGTTTCTTTTTAACGTTAGCAGCTGTTTCCAAGCAGGTAGTCCAGAGTTTTGCTTGTTCTTCTGAACGCAGAAATGTTTTTCTTAAGACCTCCAGGCTGTGAAGAAGCTTGCCAGCCTCAGTGCTCCATGTGTATGAATATAAATGCCTACTTCTATCTAAGGGCTTTAATAACAAAGTCCAACAAGAATTAAACCTTTAACTCAAGAAATGCAGCTGTTGACCTTCAGTTTTGGTACCAGGCGGCAGCTCAAGGCAGTTTCCACTCTGGTGTGGTGTTCTGGAGTCTATCTGAGAGCTGTTTTTGGGTCTATCCTAGAGCGAACGTCCTGGTAGGCCAGCAGGCAAGGGTCAGTGGACAAGGCATCGTGCGTAAAAACTGAGTCGTTATCTGAGGAGCAGGAACTGGAAGTGTCCTCACAAGATGGGGAGTACTGCTCAAATGGGGTGGAAAGGTCCAAGTACTGAGAAGAAAAAGAAAAGGCTGGTGAGAAACTCTTCTCTGAGACAGCATTAGACTTCCTCCCAATACATACATGTGCCACAACTACCTGTTGTACCGTGACTGTTTTAAAGCGGTAAAGTATTACATAAAAACATAATTTAAACCATTTTGTTCAACATTTGTTAAGATTTGCCTAAAAATTTTGAGTCTAAGACCATAAAAAAAGATAAATCATTCAGCATTAAGATTATTTTCTTAGCTGAAGTTTAACAATTCTAGTGATTCATTTAGATTTGTAAACATTGAACGTCATGAGTGCTGAGAATGCTCACCTCGTCAGAGATGGACAACAAAGCTTTGTCCAGCTCCTCCACCAGCTGTTTGAACGTTGGTCTCTGGGTGGGAACAGCATGCCAACATTCACGCATCAGCATGTAGCTGCAGGGGAAAGAGCAAAATGTCATCATATTACAACATTCATTGCTATCAACATGGCGTAGAAAAGCAAACATGTCTATTTGAGCAGATCAATTAGGAAGGATTTAAAGGATTTAAACTTAAAATTTTAAGCATACATCCAAACATGTCACACAAGCAGAAGTCTATAAATAGGATTCATTAAGGCTGCAGCAGGTAGGTCTATGGAAAACTGAAAAGTGCCACAAAATCATTAAATCAGAAAGGTGCAACATTTATATTTGTAAATCTGAAAATTTCAATGAGATGCAAAGTCTTTTTTTTAAATTAAATTTGAAGTTGCTATAGAATACATATATTTTTACTTCATGACCATATGCCTAAGACAACATGAATTCATTTAATCTCTTTCTTTACAAATTTATTCTTGCTACAAAGAAATCAGTCATAATGACTTGGATTTGTAACTTGATGTGCTGCTGACTTATGAACTTGTGAACTTTGGCAAACAAAGCCAAAAAGGTTATTAAAAAATATATTTTTATTATTAGATACCAAAATAATAAATTGACTGAGCAATAAACTGCATTGGTATAACCCAACCATAGTCTGACCTGACCAATGCAAAAGCTGTTATTATAATTATTAATGACAAAATTGAAGCTTATTTATATGATAATATACTGAATATATATTATATATTGAAGTGTAAAATCGTGTTTTTCATATAACAGAACTGAATGAAAACATCCAAAGATTGACCTTTGAACCAGTCTGAAAGACATGATGCAGCATTGATGTTCTTCCTTTTTATCTCAGAAGAGAACTGAGCACCAGGAGCAGAGAACGTTCAAACTTACAGTTCATGTGTACAGTTTGAGGGCTTGTCCATGCGGTGTCCCTCCTTTAGCAGCTTGAAGAGCTCCTCAACAGGAATGCCTGGGTATGGCGAACCCCCCAATGTGAAAATCTCCCACATCAGAACACCAAATGACCACCTGAGAGCAGCCAAAAGGAAAAGATCAGGTCCAGGCATTTAGCTCTTGGAAGTCAAACAAAGACCAAATGCTCTTATAGATGAGAAGAGGAACTTACACATCACTCTGATGAGTGTAAACTCTGTCAAACAAAGCTTCCGGTGCCATCCATTTCACTGGCAGCCGTCCCTGCAGAGCCAGTAAAAACATGTTAGGTCTTACAGTCACTGAACATGGTTCTTATGAAGTCTTCAAATATCTGAAATCTGATTTTTTTGCACTTTCCAAGTCTAGATATTTTGAAAAATAAAGAGAGTAAAAAGGTTTTATATTTGTAGATTTGTTCCCTTTCCTATCACCTGTCCTACCCCACTTATGTCCTTTCTTTCTTCCTCTTGTTGTTTATCATCATCTTTCTTTCTTAATTTCTTGTTGATCATTGACCTTTTCTACTGTCTTCTTTCTTCCCAACTCCTCTCATATTGTCCTTGTGTCCCTCTTTCACAACTAAATCCATTCCTTCTTTCCTTCTTCCCAGGTCAGTTTTTTTTGTTCTTAGTTCCATACTTACTTACACTGAACTCTACCAACAGTCATGATGAAGTTTAATGATTTTATTAGGAAAAGAGCTACAGAAGACTACAAACTGAAAAAACTGTGTCAGGGAGTTTGGTTATTTTACTTACTTATTAAGTACTTTACTTACTTATTAAGTACTTAACGTCTGCATGCACTGCAGACGTAAGTTCCAAACCCGTTACATAAAATTACATGCAAGTTAGATTAAAATCAATCACAGAAAACAACTCACTCATAATTTGTTTTGACTAATTTGTTTTGAGGAGTAATAAAGTTGCTGATACAGTTACACCTCTAAGTGAAATCCTGGAATATTGTCCTCCACAAATCCTCAACTTACTGGTCAATTGCTATGAAACCAAAACAAAATAAGAAGGAGACCATGCAGCTTTCTACACCTTTCCCTTAATCTGATTAATTTGAACAAGAATACCCTGGATGGTAATTAAGAAACCATGCAATTCTACCATAAAATGCTTGACATAAATGTGTTTCAGCAGTGGACAATTTAATAAAAAGCATTTTTCGAACCAGCAAACTCCTGAAAAAGCAGTGGCAGAAACCGTGACTCACATTGGTGGTTTTCTTGTAGTAGTCGATCTGGTGGACGCCTCTGGCTAAGCCAAAGTCAGCAATCTTCATCACATTGTCCTCTGTTACCAGAACGTTCCTGGCTGCCAAGTCTCTGTGGATGCACTGCAGAAATAAAGACAATACGAAAACATGATTGCATGGCCAATGCTGTATCCACTACTCCTGGTAAACCCTAATATCTTGATTAATTAGCTGCTCCTAATTCTGTTTTGTTTTTGGCAGAAATCAGTCTCGATCTGCAGCAGAAACCAAATAAGGGAGTAAAAAAATATGTACCTTCTTGTTTTAACAGTCAGAAAAGCTCTACTACTTTAAGACGCCTCGGTTATTCTTTCAAGACAGCCGACAGAAAATAATTACAGATTTTCTATCCAAATGAAAGGACTGCAGTCTAAAATCAACTCACAGTGCCTCATTGTAGTGAATTCCACAAAAATAAAAATGTCTTTTTATAGAAATAGAGTTTAAACACAACCATTCAGGAAGAAGGGAAAAAAGAAAGCAGTGTTTGCCCACATCGAATGTATGTCATTAAGTTTATTTTGGTTTTCATTCGAAATAGTCGAGGGATTTGTGGAGACCTGCAGAATGAACCACTATGGGTTTGTGGGTCTCCCCATAATGGCGGGTTAGTTTCAGGCTCTGGCATTCTTAGGATGCAGCAGAGCCAGAAACCTGATGCCAGACAACGGCTATGCTCCGCTCGCCTGTTTGCTAACAGATTTATGGCTGTTAGCAAACAGGACAAAGCCCTGCAAGCAAAAGGGACAGGCAGATGGATAGGAAAGAGTAAACAGGACTGAAGCTGCGGCAGCTCGCTGCTCAGGAATGCCGCTCTGAGACACCGGCAAGCAGACACAAAGAGACGTGTTGATAAGAAACACTCACAGACGGAGTGCATGCTGGGAAAATGAAAGGAACTGAAAAATGGGGTGAGGGGGCAAAGAGTAGAAAGAGAAAGGGAGGAGAACAGCTGGTCCTGCCATCGGGATTCAGGAAGAAACAAATCAGTTTGAGGAGCCAAAATGCAGTTTAATGAGTAAACATCAAACCCTCGTCATTAAGCCATTAAAACCTATTCAGAACCTACAGTATAATTGTCTCGATTTGGCACAAAGGAGGAGGATTTTCTAACTTTCTATGCTAACCACAGGTAGTATCAAAGCTTATAATATAGTTTTCTCCATTTTATGAGCTAAAAACTGAAAGAAAAGTCTCATTAAAACCGGATAATGCCCTGAAAGTAATCAGAGAAAGAAACAAACAGTTTATTTCTGTAGGTTTTGTTATGTTTTAAGTGCTCCATCAACCATGTTGAAATTGAACTTGGGGCTCTGGGAAGACCTACAACTCTAAGAGCTGAAATGTTCTCTAGCCAATAAATTACAACTGGAACACATTAGAAAATGTCTGATGGCTAAAAATTTTTTTTAACATAACTTACCTCTTCTAGCTGGGTAGAAACTAGCATACCTAATTATCAGATTTTGCTCTTTAGATTGACGTCTATAAAATGCTCATTGAGAGATTTACAGCTGTTCAGATGTCATTTCCTCCCTTTCATGTGAACCCACCCTTTTCGAGGCCAGGTACTCCATCCCTCTGGCCACCTGGTAAGCACAGGAAAGCAGGTCTTTGAAGGTGAGCTGCTCCTCAGGCACTTTAGTCACATCAAAGGTGTAATCCATGCCTGGAGGTCGCCTGGCCCGCAGGTACTCCCTCAAACTGCCTTTGGAGGCATACTCCACCACCACATACAAGGGGCCTGTGGGGGTAGGGGGATATAACACAAGATGAAGAACTGTCTGTGTTCTGACTGTAACCTCAGGGTTTGAGATCACTCAGGTTGGGAGACAATAAATTAGGTTTTAAGAGACAGGAAGAGTACTTGAAGCTCACCATCCTGTGTGCAGACCCCCAGTAGGTTGATGATGTTCTTGTGTTTGTCCATCACTTTCATCAGCTCCATCTCTGAAATAAGGTCTGCAAGGTCTTTGTCTGTGGCATCATCTGAAGGAAAAAAGCAGGTTGTGACTTTTAGAAAAAAGGGCAACAGATGAAAACTTCTCATTTATGTTCTTTAGTGAGTCTTTTTGTTTTTAGTACCTTTGAGCATCTTGACCGCTACAGTGGTGGCCTGATCCTGGCAGTCCTTGTTGATGCCAAAGGCTTCAGCCCTGACCACCTGACCAAAGCAGCCCTCTCCTAGAGGTTTTCCTAGTGTCAAGCTAGAGAGAGAAAATAAGCATGTCCAAATAAGAATTGTACAAATCCATAATTTGAAACTTTGGTTTCTTAAACTACAGGTTGGAGAGAGCCAGAAATGGGCTATTTTATTTTTAGGTCCCCACAGGATTTGAGAGCTGAACCTTTTACTGAGTCTTGATCCCGGCAGCCAAATGAAACATATTTATCCTCACTGCCATTTAGGTTTTTAAAACACAGCCTTTAAAAGCACCTCACTGTTGCGAGAGTTTCAAGGATTTTGAATAATGAAAGATTTGCATTTATGCAACATCAATGCTTACTTTTCCCTGGGAAACTCCCAGTCTGGATCGTAGGGCAGCTCAAACTCCATCACTCCAGCCAGCATGGGGGAACAGCCGGACGAGAGGCGAGCCACCCTCATCAGAGATGCACTGGACTTTCCAGAAGAGTTTGATTCCACTGAATACTTTAAGAAAAGAAATTCAATATTAATAACCTCCCTTTAAATCACACATACATGCAGGTTGCACCATGTTTTTTTTTTTTTTTTAGAAGTAGCAGAAATATATATAATGAATATGTATTAAGTTTTAGAACCATTAGAAGACAAGATGAGTCTAATTGAGTGCCTTTCCATTGTTTATAAATGTTGTACCTGTCTGCGAAGAGGAAACTTTGAGAGCTTCTGTACAGGAAGGGCATCAAAAGGCTCTCTTCTTGGGTGCACCTGCATCCGACACAGCACCACAATGATGATGGCCATGATCAGAGCCACGAATCCACAGGCATAGATGATGATGTCAGTGTACTTGGTCTCCATAGCTTCCATTGACTCAGCTTCTTCTTCTGTAGAAGCAATGATATAGATGGATTTAATCCACAAGATATAACAAATCATAATTGCTTTGTTTCTGTTGCAAATAAATTTGAAACATAATTTCTTTCCTTTCATACCTGAAATCACAGTGAGCCAGGCAGACTGGTGGGCAAAGCCGATGGAATTACCGGCTAAGCAAGTGTATTCTCCTGCATCCTCCATGGTAACTTTGAAAAGGTAAAGCACCTCCACCTCTGACATGTTCAGACTTCCAGTCTGCAAGACAAAAAAATGCAACATTATAGATGTATATATTTGAGAGAGAGATTTCTTTTCTATCTGTTCCCCGATTGATACCAACCTTAAGGACCTGAACGTAGGGAGTCCCATCAGGACCATAGCGACTGCCATTTCTTTCAATGTGCTTTAGCCACTGAATATGAGGCTGAGCATCGCTGTAAACCTTGCAGTGGAACTGAACATCGCTGCCTACCACTGCTGTGGTGTTGGCCGGTAAACCAGCTTGCAGGATAGGCCTGTGGGGGGAGCGCTCTGTAAGAGGATAAAACAAGACAAAGGGCACAGTAAGGGAATCAGAACATCAACCATGAATTTGTAAATAGCTCTATTGACTAGACACTAAGAAAAGTGCTAAAAATAATAGTTTAGCTTTGAAAAGTCTAAAACAAAGACTTTTAGTGAAAAAAGTATGAAGAGAAGTGACATTGAGAAAAGATGAAATAACATCACACAGCAAGGGAAACTTTGGTATTTTGTAAACAAATGTCTAAAAATAGCCAGAAACGTTCAAATTCTTCTCTGAATGTGTTTTTGTGTTGGCAATAGAATGAGAAATGTCAGTTTGGGATCAAAACTGGGCCATTAGCATGCCGCTCTGGCAATGGTCCCTTTGATCTGCGGTCACTTTCTGATCTCATTAGTTGTCTCATTAGTCTCCACCTCTTGTCCCCATCAGCAGGGTTAGAAATTGACCCCATGCAAAACAAATGAACAAATAACCTGCAGCACTCTCCTCAGCATTTTGTCACAAACCAGGGAGAAAACTGTACTGGATGCTCATCACAAATGGAAGGGACCAGATTTCTGTTCACCTGATCCTGGTGGGTAAAGCTAGACACTCTCTTTTAGTGTCTTCACGTTTCTTTCAGTTATTTGTTTTAAATAAATTTTGCTTATTTATTTTACTTGTTTTATTCTTTTAAACTGTTTTTTTGTCTTTATACCATTTAATTTTATTGTTATGTGCAGCACTTTGTGGCAGCTGTAGTTGTTTTAAAGGGTCATACAAATAAAGTTGAGATGAGTTCAACCATTGAAATAATACACTTTTGCAAGTGCTTAATAATGCTTTGGCTACTATCAGCCAGATAACATATTGTCCATTGCCTTTGTTTTTCCACAAATCTGATGAAGAATCATCCATGTCTTACCCAGAACATCGAGAACATAGCTGTGAGTAATGGATCCATATTTGTTCTCCACCACGCACGTGTAGTTCCCTCTGTCTGAGGGTACAACGCTCTCCATCACCAGGCTCCAGTGCTGATGTCTTAGCTAGCCAAAAAGAAAATATATATGTATAAACTTATAAATCTCCTTAACTAGAAACACTTAAGAAGATCAAATTCTTCCACAAACACTCACCTTAATTCCCCCGATGCGGTGCTCTCCTCTGAACTCACGTCCGTTTTTGAGCCAGCGAATTGTTGGTATTGGACTGCCCATTGCAGGGCAACGAAACTTCACAGTGTTTCCTGCAGGAACAGCATAAAGCTTCTTTTCCATACGCTGGGTGTGGGTCCAATAGGGACCTGTTGAGACAAAAACCAGCAAATAAAGCCTTTGTAAAAAAAACACAATGTTATATAAGGGCTGGAAGATGTTAACAAGACCAATATAAGTCTTTAGCCTGAGGAAACAACCAAATCATTAAGGCTTGAGCCAACCCTCAACAAATTTTAGATTTCCAAAAACTACACACCTCTGGAGAGGTAAACTTGGTCATTCTCAATTTCAGCAGAGGAGTCCTCCAAGCCACTGTCCTCATCATCGTCCCCTGAGCCTAGCATATCTTGAAACAAGAGAGAAAGTCAATACAAAGATCCAAATACCACTGATAAGGAACAATCACATTTTCTGTCTAAAAAGGCCAATGGTTGGTTCCTGTTACCTGCCACAGTGATGGTGAAGTTCCTCACGGGGTTTTTGCTTCCCCGGAGAACACACACATACAGTCCTGAATCCTCGTATGTCACATCTGTGATCTCCATGATTGCACCACGCATCTGGATGCGGGGTGTAGGTAGAAGCCGGACTCCTTCCTTGTACCAATTCACAGCCATGCCCGGTCGGATGTTCGTGTCACAGCGCAGCTTCAGGATGTTTCCTGGCTCCAGAAGAAGATGCTCTGTTGTGTCGTCGCTATGGTCTTGAGAAACCTCTGTTGAATTTGGAGATGGTGACAGTCCAGTTATGCAAATTTTCTCTGATATTTTAAACCCACTTCCACTACCAAACCCTAACCTTAACTGGTCTCTTGGATCAACCATTATGTCACCCTGGCCATATGTCTCTCAGCTCCTCAAAATCTATGATCTGAGTACAACAGACCTACCATAAAACCAAATTCATAATGACCCGACCTTCCACTAACCAACCCCTCCTCTCCAGTGGATAACTGGGAGACAGAAAGTAAAATGATAGCAAATATCCATCACTTATAACCCAGAAAAAAAGGTAAAGAAAACTAACAAGCAAGAGGACAGGAGGAAGTTAATGAACATGCTGCCATCGGACAATGGATGGAGAGGGATGGTGAAGTGTTAGTGTTTAGTTAAGGTCTAGGTAAAACAGAAAACAGACATATTTAGGGGATAGCGTTAATTGGCCCTAATTTCCATTTATCCATTGTCTATACTGCCTGATTCTATAGGGCTGAATGTTTGCCTCAGTGTGGGAGAGGCAAGGAATAGATCCCCAATCAGCCACAGGGCCACAAGGAGACACAGGAAAAAGCATAGACACTCACACCCAAGGCAATCTACTGAGACCCGCTAGCCTAAAATACAGCAACGCAGAAACCTGGTTTCAACCATGGAGCAGTAAAACTTGTTAAAGTTACCTGTTTGGATGTCAGCAGCAGTCATTTCTACATTTCTAGAATTGATGATACCTATGAACAAGATATGTCGTGGTTTTAAACACTGAAATGTCATATAAACAACAGTAGATGAAAACAGATAAGCGATAAGACTTTCTCACCAGGCAGGACTTCCAGCCATGCGGATTGCATTGCCTGAACTGTCTGTCCTCCATGGACACTCTCAGCCATGCAGATGTACTCGCCTGCATCTCCCATGGTGATATTGGACAGATGGAGAGTGTTGACCTTGGGGCCATTACTTTTCAGGGACTGCATAAAGAAGATCATGTTTCATCATTACTCAACATAATAAATAAAATTGCAGAGCTTTTTCTAGATGCTACGGATGTCTTCTTACTGTCAGGGGCTTGATGCGAGATGGTCCTCCTTGGGTTTGTCCTGAGCTGCTTGAATCTGTCTTTAGCCATTGCACCTTAGTAGATAGTGGCCTGTGGACTTTGCACAAGAGTTTTGCTTGACCTCCAACTACCGCTGTGGTGTTTTCTGGATACCCTGGTACAATCAGAGGCCTGGACTGACGAAGATCTGGAGAACATAAAGAGGTGGAAATGGAGAGGAGTAAAATGAGTACTTGATTATTATGTTTAATCTAATTTATGGAATTTGTTTGGCTTAATTTATGAAGAATACAGTCTAAATAAATTGTTTTAAGGTGGTTTGATTTCAGATCACTTAAAATAAGAGAAAATATAAAAAAACATGCCCTTTACCTCAGTATAAACCAAAAAGAGGACACCATGTTCCTAAATAACCACGGACATTTAATGCTGCCAGAAACCAGTGACAGAGTATCCTGATAGCACAGCTACTATGGTGTCACTATCAGCTTGAGGGGGCCACTTTTCCTAAAGCATATCTGCTCCCTGGACAGAGCCTCCTGCCACTGCTCCGTCGCTCAGGATGAGCAATTTTCCAGGGTAATTTTCTGTCTGATTGCTTCCTGCGAGCACTAAGTGAAAGGGCAATCTGTTCCCTTGTGGCAGTGAAGTGCTGCCTTTCTGTCTAATCACCCAGAGTGCATGCAGGTAATGCTTTCAGGAACAAATAACACACTTACAGCCTTGTTAGTAGGAAATCAGACACAGAGATTTGGTCAAATGAAAGAAAGCACATTTAAAGAAACGTGACAAAAATCTGTTTTATATGCGTTTTAAATGCAAGTTTAAATAACCAATATCAACAGAAGAGCTGCATTTTTTTTTTATCATTATTTAGAATAGCCAGTTCAGGCTGCTGCTGTGAATCAGAGGTAGAAAGCATTAGGGCTCCTACCCATTCTTGAAAAGTCTGTTGTTGTTTTTTTTCATTTTGATTGCGGTTTCTGTCTGCGATACAATAGGCGAATAGTGAACTACTCTAGATCCAAAGTTAGTATTGTCCTCATTCTGCTGAATGCCTCTTGATTGTCCAGAATCTGATTAAATCTGTCAGAAAAATGTAGAAATACCATTCTGAAAAGGTAGCCAAAGGTGGGGAATTTGCAAGCACCCCAAACTACACAGTCTGCAGCCTTGCTAATGAACTTGCTAAGACAGTAACAGTGCCCTGGAGTTGAACTTACAAAGGAGTGTGAATTGTCACCCAAAGATGAGGGGGCAAACAACAAGAGACACAACACAAACAAGCCGCCCAATCAGTCGGTCAGCCAGCCAACCAGGCTGGCAGCAAGAGACTCAGAAAGCTGGGACAATGAAAAGAGCTTGATGAGCCGACACAAAAAATGCACCAAACAACAATCAGCTATTTCTATCTGCTCCCCTTGATACCAGAGGAATGAAACAAAACTTAAAATGACTCCATCCTTTTTCTGATTGCTTTAAAAAAGCTAGAAATTGTTTGAATATCATTCTCTAAATACGTTTAGTTCTTATCTGTACATGGCCTACTTCAGTAATGCAGCTGTGAGATCCGACAATTCAATAGGTATATTTGGTCAAGAAATTGCTATAAGAAAAAAAAAAATCAACTGAACCAACTTGCCATTACCGACAGTCAGAGCAATAACCATAAAGTTAAACATTTGGATTAGTTATAAATACAGATTTATGACTGTATGAGCTTTTGTTAAAATATATAAAGCCCCTAATAGAGAGCTGCAGGAGAAAGGTGAAACTTAGGATCACCATTTTGTCATAACAACCCATAGATGTACAGCTGATTTTAACAACAATTGCTCTACAAAGGTTAAAAACAGACACCAAAGAACTAGAAACACACAAATTAAATGACAATCTAAAGAGAGGCTATAGTTCTCAGTCTGTGGATCTTAACAGAAACATTTCACAGGCTGGTAAAGACCAAACATAAGAATGACAAAACTCAGGTAAAGTGAGGATATTTTGCATGCTTTGTAATATTGCTGACAGCCAACAAAAAGTATAGCCAATACACCAAAATGGATCATCTTGGTTCTGGTGGCCAAAATATGTTTTTTGTATTTCTTAATCTATAAACAAAAAAGAAATTAAATAAAAAGAGATAAATGTTTGTAGGCCTTCCTTCCCCGATGTCTAAAATCATTTCTGTATAGTGTGCATCACAGCAGCACTAACCTTTTTAAGAATCCTCAAAGAGCACCTCAGACAAGAGATAAATCCAAGAACAGTTAATGTTCATGTCAGACAATGTAAGACATTTCTGTCAACAGGCTGTTTGAAGCATTTGAAGGAACTCCCTCATGCACACCGTTACCTGAACAACAAGCCATGGCTGGCCCCTGTGGCCTCTGGGGGCCCCATTCTTTTTTTTGTCTTTCATCTGTTTCCACATTTCCATGGAAATGAATCATCCTAGTGTTTAAATCAGACTTAAAAACTTTGCACCACTAATGATAAACAGCCCTCATCGCTTTAGCTTTAACTCTAAAACTTGCTGATTGGCAGAGAACAATTAGACTGATTAGCTTTTTGCTGAACAGGAACAGTGCACTGGGACTGTAAACCAACAGCGCTGGCCTAAAGCCTGAACGTCTGCCTGTAAAGCATCAGTGAAAAAAAGCCCCTCCCCTCCCTATCCTCTGCAGCTGGCACGCAGCCAGGCAAATTTACACTTCCGAGCCCCAGGGCCCCGGATGGATCAGGTAGCACACTTTACAGCAGCAAAAACACTCTGACTCTCAAACGCATTCGACTCTTTCGCTCCATCCGAACCCCGACCACTGCCCCTCGCCTAATCTGTGCTGTCATCCTGACTTCCTCTGGACTCGTGCCACTAGAAACTACATCCTTCCTAGGAGAGAGGATGTTAGGGATGTACTCTGATAATGCAAGAGGTAATATGTAAGTTATATGCAAACAAAAGCCCCTAGAGAGATAAACTGTCTCAATGACTGTGGGATAGATGCTTCAAGTTCTGGAAATTTAATTCATTTAGGTTGGATTTTTTTATGCAGGATATGCAGAAGGTTGTGTTTAATTTTAACTTGGACTGAAAAGGGTGCATGACTTTTGAAGAATTTCTCAAAATGTTGCTTTGTTTTATTCTCTGCTGTTTCATCTGAAACCCTTGAATAAAATCTTGTGCAGTTAGTTAGTAAATAAAGTATCCAACTTATTCTCTAGGTGCTTTGTCAAGGTTTCAGAGGTTTTGCTTATAAAAAAATAAAGATGGAGGAACACATCAGCCAGCCTTAAGATAAAGTTGTCTTACCTTTGGTTCTCATCCCAGGAACACTTCTGACAGCAACTCTGTCCACCAGGCAGATCAAGAGAACACAGAATATGGAGTCCCACACCATCTTCTAGATGCAATGCGTTAATGTTTATGGTTTAGATGCAAAAACAAAAGGAAGCCTGGAAATGGCCTCACGCTCTGGTCTCCTGCATCAGGAACTTCAGGAGGCCACAAAAAAAGTCTTTAAATCTGGATCCTGCAAGGGTAAACAAACCAGAAGACAGATAGTAAGATCTCTGAGGGTCAAAACCCTGACTGTTTGAGGAGACCTGTCTACAGAGCAGCTAAAGACACAAACCTTCTTGTTCGGTTTGAGGCTAGATGTCAAAAACACAAACAATTGTCCAGACGAATAGCTGTAGAGAGTGGCTGTTTTGACTGTAAGCAGCTGTATTCTTAACCAGATGTCCTGCTAACTGTCCTACTTGTCTGTCCCACATTATCCAGGCGCTCCTGCATCATGAATAAGGAGCAGGGCTGTTACTGCCTGTTGTTTATCAATGGATGGCGCTAGGCTAGCCTGGGGATAATGGGTCCATACTGGGAAAACACTTGAAACCTGCCAGGGAGCGGCATTATGCCTGAGAAAATGTCTCCAAACTCACTGTGGGTAATTTCCTCAAAACACCAATACAATATTCAAATCAGAAAGAGATGATTTAACATTTACTTGTCATCATGGAAATGTGATGCTTTCTTTAAAATCATGTGCTAACCTGGTCCTAACAGATATATTTAGAGTCCAGATCAGATTATAAAGAATGTAATCAAGTTAACGTTTCTAACTTGTTGGTTTGGTGTTCATAGTGCTATGATGATATGGCTAGGAGCTCAGGGTGGCATCCTGTGATGGCGCAATAGCAGCCTACCAGTTTTCCATTGAATGTTATTATGCACACTTGATGAGGATTCGATGCTTTGATGCAAGAAAAATAGTATGTTAGGCAATCAGGCTTAGGGTGGGTTAGGATTAGCTTATTCAACTGTATTACACTCAGTTATAATAACTGGACAATATAATGTACTTTGGGTCCACTAGACTAAAACTGAGCTGCTCAGCAGAAAGCACCATAGATAAGTTTGATATGACACAAAAATGTAATGCGTGGGGAAAATATATCCTGGTTAATCATGGCAGATTTTCTTCCAAGGAGAAGGGCATCAGTGAATTGTTTTGTTATTTCTTATTATTTTTGTTCATTTGTACTGGAGGTGCTAAAAAATGCCGTTTGGGGAGGGTTTGAATTCAAATGGAAGCCCAAAAATTGGTCTTATAGACTCCAGGCAGACTATAAACAGTGTCTGGTTGTAAGAGAGCTAAAGGAATAATGCAGGGATTTTTCTTTCTTTTTTTTTTCTGTGGCACGCTGCGCCAGCTGAGCTCAGGCGCCAGACCCAAGCGGCGCATACACACATTCCGTTAAGAGAACAAGCTTTACTGAATGAAACGTATTCTTTTTCAATTAGTGACTGGAAAACTCCCCCCCCTCATCTCTCTCTCCTGTTGCTGTTAATTCCTCTCGATGGCGGCTGAACTTCAGCTCGAGCCAAAAACACTTCCACTGTATTCTGCTTTTATTTATTCAGAGAGAAAAACGGAGGGAAGGGGGCTTCAATGGCCTGTTTTTATAGTTAATGCTTAATAAACCTGTTCGGTTGGTCAAAAACATTCAGGAATGAAGGAACACCACTTCTATTTATATACCGTACCAGAACTGAGTGGGTTTGTATGCAAGGATGCTGGTTATGTTGTCCTATGGCTATTTCATACCTAGGGCAGTTGTACCAACCATTCCTCAATTCTCACACTATAAAAACAAATTTAGAGTTTTAAAAATCACCCATCAAAAGTATTTAAACCTAAATAAAGCTTTTTACCTTGTATACATAGAAATTTATACTGGTACTCTCTAAGTATCAGACACACAAACAAATCACATCAAAGCATCCAAATTAGAACTTCATGTAGGATGCTTGTTGACACAACTAGATTGTGCTTGTGACGATTCTCAGTCATCCAGGTCATACCAGTTATTCCAAAAAAGTAAAAAAAAAAAAAAAAAAAAACAAAAAAAAACACTGGACTTTGTTTTCCAAGTTTGGAGATGTTTCGCTTCCCATCCAGACATTTTGAATTGAGAAAGCTCTCTGGATGGGAAGCGAAACATCTTCAAACTTGGAAAACAAAGTCCAGTGGTTTGTTTTTAATTGTTTTGTAAAAACAACTGCACACCCTGCTGCATTGATTGTAAAACAGTAAGGGAGACATTTATATCTCCTGTTGTCTTCAATGAATATTAACTTCCCAACAGTTAAGTTTCGGAAAATTTGTAAATGGGAAAGTTTCAGAGCAAGCACTAGTACTAAAATTAAACTTGCCAGCAAGTTTCTTTCTTAACCCTAACTCTAATATTGGTATGAAATTACCAATCTTGGTTGTAAAGGAAAATGTTATTGGTGCCATCTCTCACAATAGATTTTCATAGTTTGAATTCCTCCTTAATTAGATTATCTCAAGCACTCATACTTAATGCAAATTGTTTTTATAGTTGTTGCTTGATTGTGCATTCTAGTTGTGGTTGTGAAGAAAAAAAAAAACACAAAATCAGTCTTTGCTAAGGAATGGAATCCATGATATTGCATGGCTGATTCTAGTTGTCATTATCAGTGGTTGCACATGACATTGATAAAAAATGTAATCTTATTAGAATATAATTAAAAGCTTTATTACTATTTCAGTAATATTTTGTGTCTCATTTGCAAAGTAAACCCTCGATTCTTGGGTAATATCTCGTATGAAAGGACAAAACAAATAGAAAAAATTATCCTAACCTATAGTGTTAGCCCAATCAAATCAAACATGATTTTTATCATTATACCTGCTAAGGTATAATGATAAAAATCTGTTCTAATAAATGTTACACCAATATTACAGACTAAATTCTACCAGAAAGTTTTTTTTAGTGTACCTACTTTGCAAAACACACTGTGACAGCTGAGGCTGTTTATCATGAGATTTTTGAGTTATTTTCTTTAATCTCCACTAGTCTGCAGTTAGATGCTGTTTTTAACGCCAATAAATGATAGGCTTCATAATTCTGAGTCGACTGAGCCAAATAGGGACCAAAATGAAATATGGGTTATGGAAAACAGCTTGCTGCAAAAATCTAATTAGCCGTGATATTCGAGTATTTTGTGGAAACTTAGCCCCAAAGTTCTGCAAAATGTATGAAGAATAAAATAATTTATAATGCGTGAATCCTGTGATCGCGGATAGTAATGGAAAATGACAGAGGCAACTTTAAATCTCAGTGCGAACTGACCTGGAGCAGGTTTGGTGTTTGACGCCTGCGCGCCTCCACCAATCAAAAGCTTCAATTAAACCGATCGGATTGTTGGAAACATCCGGAGATCAATTTAAAACTGAATGCAGGTTCTAAAAATCAATAACTTTCGTTTTTTGTCTTATTTAAACAATCTGTTAAGTCATATTAGCGCATGAATTGACAGAATGATTCCTATTTTGTTCGTTTTTGTTCCCTTTTTAGATTAAGGCTGTTGTGACAAAGTTCAAACTGCGCTCTATGTAACAAGACATGTTTATCTCGTCGAATAGTTGTGAAAGGTTTAGGATCAGCTGATTCCAATAGATTTGCAACATTTTATACAAAAATAAATTAGTAAGAAACAACTGTGCCTGTAGATTATTAGAAAGAAATAACCATACCATAATAGAAAATGTATTGTTCAGTCAATGTTTGTTTTTTCCTAAAGAAATTAATTATTTAAGAGTTAGTATAAATTAACAGACAGGTGAGTCTAGGTCCAGAATGCTCTTTTCACCCACCTCTTCTCCCGGTTTCCTACAAAGAGGACTGGCACCAGAGGGGGGAATAAATCACTTCGTGTCCCGTTCCGCTCCTGGGAAAATTGAAATGTTCATTGAAAATATGCACTATCCTTCCATAAAGGGAGTCCGTGAGTAGGTTGTGTGGCTCCAGATCAAATCAAAGTGGTTGAATCGAGGGGAAAAAGCTCCAGGACCATGAACAGCAGCTGCTCCGGAGCTGGTGACCGGGGGAAGGAGCTGTTATCCCCGGGGGCAAAGTCCGCGGCTTGTCGCGCAGCTTACAAATCCATAAAGAATTCAAAGAACGTTTGTTTAGCAAGAATACTTAAAAATATGAAAAAAAAAACTTTCTTAAAAAAAAAAAAAAAAAACTTTCTTAAAATATCATCCAAACTGGTTAAAATTGTAGAATAATTGGAGAGAAAACGTGTCCCTTTGGTTCCACTGTACCGTCCTAAATGCGCCTTTACGCAGCGCTTCTGGGAGCTCTCCGCTTCTGAATAAGGATCTCCTGGAACAACATAGATGCTCTGCGTCTGAGCCGCAAATCTGAAGCCTTTTCTAGACAGTCAGCTCTTTAAGGTGCAGAAAAAGAGGCGAACGGCTGCGTCCTCCGCGCACCAGACCTGCAACAACACTCCGCCGTTTTCCGGACTGCAATCACAACAATGGTCCGAGAGAGGCCGGGAGAGCAGCAGGAGGAGGGAGGGAGAGAGGGGGGGGAGACGGGAGGGGGAGAGGTATACCCCTGCTACCCCCCACCCCTTCTACCACAGCGCATAGAAAATGCTCCCATCCCTCCGCTGCAAGGAGATGGCACAGTCAGACCCTCTCCCCCTCTCCTTCTCCACAGCGCGATGAAGAAATCAGCAGTTATCCAAAGAGGTTTCAAATCTTACTTCATTACCCCCAAACAAAAAACAAATCAACACAAAAAGTCAAAATTAATATCATAAATCACTCAGTGGAAGGAGTTCATTATAAAGTAATATAATTTATAGCGCTTTAATTGCTCTTTAGAGCTCGCATTCAATTAACGGGAAAGCCTAATCCCCCCATGTAAATTGTCACTATGTTTTAATTGCATCAAGGAAAGAACAAAGCTGAGTAATCCTGTTACTGCGGTAAAGAATCAAGATAAATCCGATAAATCCCTTTTTTTAATCATCTTAACAAGCTGAGCCTTAATGCCTCCCCTCATTTCAAAGCTCTGG